TCACGTATGGAAGTGGCATTACTGCGTTCATTTTGTGCCAGGTGCAACGATTGCGCCAGTCAGCCGCCGCGGCCAGTGGAGTCACGATTCGGGGGTTCGGCGCTGAGTTAGCTCGTGGTTTGTCGTGTTCCAAGGACCCGGTGGAAGTAGCAGGCACGACTGTTCGTAGGTATGCTGCTGAATAGTGGCAAGCCACAACCCCAAGAACCGATTTGCAGCGAAAGCAGTCGGACGTCCTCACGCCAGAATGTTTAACCAAGCTTATTGGAGAGGCCTGACGGCCGGTGCCGCCGACCCTGATCGAAAGGGCTAGGAGCGGGGGGAGGAAGCGGAGGATGATGAGGAGGAGGAGGAGGAGAAGGAGGTGGAGCAGGAGGAGGAGGAGGAGGAAGAGGAGGAGGAGGAGGAGGAGGAGGAGGAGGAGGAAGTGCATCCTTTGTGTGCCCGCTCGAAGAAAGTGCGCCCCGGGGGTGTGATATTCTGACTTGGGACGTGCTCCCGGAAGAGGAAAAAGTGCATCTCGGGCGTGCCCGCTCGAGGAATATGCGTCCTAGGGGGGGGGTATTTTGACTCTGGGCCAGCTCCCGGACGCCTCTGCGGGAGGAGGAGGAGGAGGAGGAGGAGGAGGAGGAAGAGGAGGAGGAGGAGGAGGAGAATGAGGAGAGGAGCAGGAGGAGGAGGAGGAGGAGGAGGAGGGAGGAGGAGGAGGAGGAGGAGGAGGAGGAGGAGGAGGAGGAGGAGGAGGAGGGAGGGGGAGGAGGAGGAGGAGGAGGAGGAGGAGGACCAGGAGGAGGAGGAAGTGCATCCCGTGCGTGCCCGCTCGAGGAAAGTACGCCCCGGCGGGCGTCGTATCTGACCCGCCCCCCCCCCCCCCTCCCCCCCCCTGTGCGGGGAAGGGATCAAAGGAAAGGGGTTTCCCTTCGACTCCACTACGACGTCGTTTAATTTCGCTTCGGATAGCGCGCTTGAGGAGGAGATCCCTGGGAGGGGGAGAGCGGAGACGACGGAGACGACGAGTCGAACGGAGAAGCCCCTCACACACGCCGACAGGGTCGGCGGATTCGTGTTGCCGTGGCTGCTGGGCCCAAGACACCACCGTCCAAGCGGCAAGGGTTTCAGCGGAGCAAGGGGCCTATATCTGATAATCTTGCGTGGGCAAAGACGGTGGTTGGGAGTTCAAGTGTCCATCCATACTCATGGGTAGACTCGGGAACAACATCGAGCTTGATGCCACTTCGCCAGTGTATGTTGCCAGACGCTTCGTAACTCAGATGGAAGATGCCAGAATCCAGGCTGCTGCTGCTACAGTCGTTGCTCGCCATGCTTGCCCTGAGGCACGATCCCTCCAAGAGCGAGGACTCTGGTGGGACCTCATGGCGAGGTTCTTTCGTTCGGCGCATAAACTGCCCCCGAGGTCTGTATCCGCCTTGAAATAAACAATGGGAGGAGCTGTCCCGTCGGCCGATAACCTGGGCAAATGGGGTTACTCGGTGGCGCCAGGCTGCAGTTACTGTGGGAAGGAGGACGCTACCTTCCATCGCTGCTGGGAATGTCCTTTTTGCTGCCGAAGTCTGAGAGGAAGCCTGCTCGCCCGAAATGATCCAAGACCCCCTCGCGGCGGGCCCCACAAACCCCCTGTTCACTAGAGCCTGGTTGCCAAAGTTTGACGTCCCAGATCCTGCGGAGGATTGGGAGCTCCACTACCGTCATGCGAGTGGTCTGTGTGATCGATTTGAGGTCACCCCTGGTGCGAAACTATATCCGGACGGCAGCTGCATGCGACCTGCGCTGAGCGATCTGGCCCGAGCGGGACGGGGCGCGCGTGAGCTCGACGACTTAGGAGGTCTGCACAAGGCTATGTTTGTGTCTTTCCTAAGTTGTTGAGCTGAACATCGGGGGCCGGGGAACGGGCTGATTTCATGGTAGGGGCCATCCACGCTGAAGGTGGACTGCCCAGTTCTGTGACAGTAAACTACCAAGCGTTGGTCAGGGCTGGCTTTCACCCCAAAGCAGCCTTGTGTCACAATTCGCTTGGAGCACATTTCTTCCGGAAGATCGCGACTGATACCTCGGTCGGCTGGATCAACCTCCATCAGACTAAGGCCCGCAGGGAAGAGGAGCAAGCTGAGGGCCCCGAAGACTTGGTAGCCATCAGAGGTAACAAGGCCGCCGATTGGCTCGCGTCCCAGGGGGCCCAGTTGCACGACATCCCCCCCATGCAGGCGGATGAAATAACTCACGCGGTGAAGCATTATTACAAGCTGTGTTATGCGATGGCCTATGTTTCAGCTTCTTGATCCCCCCCAGGAGAAACCCTCTGAACTCAGTGAGGGGAGTGTGGGCCCGAGGGGGGTGAGAGGTCCGAAGGGCCCACGCGCCCCCTATTGGTGTGGGAGCCATTCTCGCTGTGAGTACAACATGAGACGAATCAGTCCCCAAACCAGATTTCCGTGGAATGGAAGGCTCAATTATAGCCTGCTTGCTGTCCTAGGGGCCGAAGGGTTCCATGGGCACAAGCTCCACGCCGTCCCAGTGTTATGTTGCATGGCGCTCTTTCGCCACAATGAAAGCACTGACGCTGGCTAAGAGATGCACGCCCAAATCCGCTCGAAGGAACTACGTGTTCTTCGTTCGGGCAAGTTGCCCGCCACCAGGTTCCGCCCAGGCCCTGCGGAGCCCATCCACAGGCCACCGCTGGGCGACCTCGCGGCGACCCTCCGCAGCAGGCCAAGGAGGCCAGGGAGGCGGGGCGGGCCCGCGAGGAGCAGCAAGGGAGGTGGGAGGGTGCTCTCTGACCCTTTTTCTTTTTCTGTCTAGGTTTGCTCACTGTGCGAACCTGGGTCCTTTTTTTTGAATCTCCGGACTATGCAGGAACAGGAGAAGGAGGAGGAGGAGCGAGAAGCGAGGAGGTAGGAGCGTGGAGCGAGCTGCGAGGAACGGGAGGAGGAGGAGGAGGAGGAGGAGGAGGAGGAGGAGGAGACGGAAGAGGAGACGGAGGAGGCGGAAGAGGATGAGGAGGAGGAGGCGGAGGAGGAGGAGGAGGAGGAGCGAGGATGACGAGGAGGACGAGGAGGAGGAGGAGGAAGAGAACGAGGATGAGGAGGAGGAGGAGAAGGAGGAGGAGGAAAAGGATCATGATGATCATGGGAATGAGCGGGGAGCGAGGAGCGAGGAGGGGGAGGAACGAGGGGCGAGGAACGATGTGCGCGGAGGAGGAGGGAGAGGAGGAGGAGGATCAGGAACAGGAGGAGGAGGAGGAGCGAGAAACGACGCGCGAGGCGCGAACATCGAGAGGGGGGAGGGAGGAGGATGAGGAGGTGGAGGAGGTGGATGATGAACAGAAGTTGGAAGAAGAGGGGGGAAAATGTGGAGGATGAGCGAGCGAGGAGGAGCGAGCGAGGAGGCGGAGCGAGGAGGTGGAGGGGGAGGAGGAGGAGCAGCAACAGGAGGAGCGTGGAGGAGGATAACCAACGATGACGAACGAGGATGAGCGAGGAGCCGGAGCGAGGATTGAGGAGAAGCGGTCGGGCCAGGAGGACGGGGAGGAGCAGGGGGAGGAGGAGGGGCGAGCGAGGAGCGAGCGAGGAGGTGCGAGAAGGTGCGAGGAGGAGGGGGAGAGGGAGGAACAACGAGGAGAACGAGGGGGGGCTAGGTGCGAGAAACGAGGAGGGGGAGGAGGGGGAGGAGGAAAAGCGGATAGAGATGAGGAGAAGGGGGAAGAGCGAGGAGCGAAGATCTAGGAGCGAGGAGCGAGGAGCGAGAATTGACGAGGCAAGTGGAGCGAAGAGCAGGAGGAGTGGGATCGATGAGGAGGAGGAGGAGGAGCAGGATGAGGAGGAGCGAGGAGGAATAGGAGGAGGAAGAGAAAGAGGAGGAGGACGAGGAGGAGGAGGAGGAGGGGGAGGAGGAGGTGGAGGAGGAGGAGGAAGATGAGGAAGAGGACGAGGACGAGGACGAGGAGGAGGAGGAGGTTGAGGAGGGGAGTCAAATCAAGTCACCCCGCTCGCACGAGGGCGGGCCCATCTAGGGCGCGAAGGAACAAAACAGCATGCCAGTCACTGTTCGGGCGGGCGCGCACGGGAAGCCCAGAGCCTGCTCACATGCAAAAGTCCAGGAGGTTTTCTGTCATGTCAACCCACACGGCGTAATCTCGTGCAGCGTTTTGTCGCGACCCGACGTGGTTCGCCAGGCAAAGCGAAGAGAATTTCGAGTCCCAAGACAGGAGATGACGACCTTGTGAGATGACGGCCTTGTGAGCGTGTCCCAGACGGCGTCCGCTGCGCCCACCGCTCTGGGGGGCAAACTCGCAACAGCTGCTGCCAAATCCCAGTCCTTCTTCATGGACTCTCTCGACCAAGTCCGGATACCATGTTCCGTCGTTGCTTGAGTAAGCATTGCACGCCATAAGTGAAAGATCTCGCGCCAAGGTCGAGACCAATCCAAATCAGCTGGCTGGCCAACGACCCGCCGCACCAGTCGCCCGAAAGCAACGTCGACTTTATGCATTGAGTCGCTGTACGGCTTCCAGACGCCAGCTCCGAAACATGCCAGTGACGTTCAAACGCGGCTGCAAATCTCGAGCCGGGCAGCGAGAGACACACTCTGGTCGCCAATAGTGGCTTTGTTTGCAAAACAATTTGCTTGCGGATGCCAGGTGATACTTCACGTCCAAATTATGCGTTCCAGAAGCTCCAGCGGACAACATGCATCCCAACCACTTGTGGGCGGCATCCTGGTGCAGGATTCGCATGGTTGCGCCGATCTGCTTGGTAATTTCAAGCGGATGTTGCGCCTCTGTTGTCGTTACCACCGTCTTGGCCGCATTCAGAATCAATCCAATTTTGGCCAATACGTCGACCAAAGAGGAGGAGGAGGAGGAGGAGGAGGAGGAGGAGGAGGAGGAGGAGGAGGGGAAGGAGGTGGAGGAGGAGGAGAAGGAGGAGGACGAGGAGGAGGAGGAGGAGGAGGAGGAGGAGGAGGAGGAGGGGAAGAGGGGTAAGTAGAGAAGGAATAAAGGGGCAAGCCAGCGATCTTTGGCACTCTGAAAGTAAATGCGCTTTCCGTCCCCGTGCCGGCCCAGGTCTAATACGCCCGTGACGGGCTTGGCCCAGTACATTCCCGTCGCCGCAGTCTCCAGGGGCGATTCGGTGCAGCCCCCGCGCCGTGGCCGTTTGTTTCCTCAGTCGCAGGGGCCGCGTGCCTCAACGAGTTGCGGCGCGCACCTGGAAAATCAGCTGAGCTCTCTTTCAGGATCCGGTTCAAGAGGCGATGGTGGCGCGACTGCGGATCCACATCCATGGCGCGAAGGGGTTGCCAGCAGCAGATTCCAACGGGCTGTCTGACCCCTTCCTGACGGGGGAGCTCGAGGGAAAGCCGAAAACCAAGTTCAAGACCGAGATCGTCCCAGGGACGTTGAACCCAACGTGGGACCAGGACTTCGTGATAAATGGCTTTGAACGAGGGGACATGCTTTCGCTGAAGGTTTTTGACTACGACAATATGGTGAAGGCCTACACGGTCGGGAACGACTTCCTCGGAGCAACTCTGATGCTAGGGGAAGACTTCTACCCTTACTAGAGTAGCACAAAACTGCATGAACCTAACATGTTCGGAGATCCGCGCGGATTTCTAGGATCTGTGCTGGCCCACCCTCCCTGGCGCGCCGCCAGGGGCCGCTAGCGCCGACCAAAGAGGAAGAAATCAGCGCGGACCTCCGACAGTTGATGGTCGTGCGCTTGTTTGCTCCTCTGCTTACGGCTTCGATGGCCAGGTCGAGCTCACCGAGACCGGGAAGCCCGGCCCGCCGCCCAGCCTCCGGCTCCGGATCGAGGTCGACGAGGAGGCCTCTGGCGGCGACCCAGGCAGCCGGCAGAGGGAGGCCAGGAGCGCTTGCCACAACATTCGAGGAGCAGAAGACGGCCCGGACAGGAATTTTCGGAGCTCTGCGTCGATGTCTTTGATCGGCATTGGGCCAGGCCGAACACCCTAAACTACTCTTTGTCTTTCTTCCCGGCCCCTCGGCCTTCCCCTCTTTTCTGTCCCCTCTTCGCGTTTCCTCCCTCACTCTCCTTCTTTCTCTTTCCGCCCATGGGCTGCAGCTCACTTCCTTGTCTTCCTTGGGGCCTAACGAAGACTGCAAGCGCGGCCGCCCATTATACGAGCCGTCAGGAGAAACATGCGAGTCTTTGATCGGCACTGGGCTCCCTTCCGTGGCGCGCTTTCCTCGCCATGACAAAGTGGTCGGCCTGCAGGGGCCCTCAGCGGGCCCCAGGATCGTAAAACAACGGCTCGGGATGAAAAGCTAGTCCCTCGGGAGGTTGCGAACACCAGCACGATGCCGGATGCCTGGGGACGCCCCTTGGCGGCGCCTCCAGGGCCGCCCCGGCCAGGCTCCGCGCGCCAGGGCGGGGGGGGCGGGCCAGCGCCGACCAATGAAATCCGCGTTGGGAGCCCCGAAAGCTTACGCGTGTTTGTGCCGCTTCCTCTTCCTCGAAGCATGGTGGACCAGCTGGCCAGCAGCTGGTCGCAGCACAGGCCCACGCTGCCCCTGTGCGGCCGGGCCACCGGCTGCGACGGCAGCTCGCCTTCGCCGTCGCCGGGGAGCCCAGCGGTGCTGCGCGTGCAGGTCCACAGCGCCTCGGGGTTGCGCGCCGCGGACTCCAACGGCACCTCAGACCCGTTCGTGGTCGGGAAGGTTCCGGGCGGGGCCACGGGCCGGGAGAAATCGTTCCAGAGCGCTCCGGTACGCTCCTAAGCGATCCGGAGCGCTCTGGAGCGGGCGCGGCGCTCGATGCATGCTGCGGGAGAGCCGCCGGATGTCGGAGATCCGGTTTATCCGGGTTTGGTTTTGTCCCAGTCCTGGCTTCGTCTTGAGGTTCGTGGCAAAGACGGCACGGAGTTCCGGACGACGACGGTCTCCAGGAGTTTGAGCCCACAGTGGCACGAGGAGTTCGAGATCCTGGAGTTTGTGCCCGGGGACGCGCTCGACTTCGTGGTGTACGACGAGGACAATTTTGTGAAGATCGAGGAACAGCAATTGCGTGACCAGAAACTTTCGGAGCTCCGTGGGGATATCTCGGATCGGCGCGAGTCGCCTTGGCGGCTCCTCTGGCGCAGCCCTTGGTGCGTCAGGGAGGGGGGCCCAGAGCAGAGCCAAGAACTCCGTGCGGAGCTCCGACAGTTTATGTTTGGGCCGTTTTGTTGCTCTAGCAGAGGGCTTTACAGGGCAACGACGACCTTGGTCACGCATCCTTGAAGACCAGCGACTTCTGGCCTCACGGCTGTTCCCGCGAGGTGGTTCTCGAGGGCGCAGGCAGAGGTCAGCACGCGATCCTCCGCCTCAGCATCATTGTCGACAGGGGCCTGCAGAGCCCGTATACTGCCTTCCATACAAACGGCCAGGGAAGCAGCAACCGGCAGAGGGATCGCAGCGCCACGGTCAGGACGACGAGCCCCCAGTCAGACTGGCCCTCTCCTCACCAGCGGTCGCCGCCGCGGCGGCATGGCACGCTGCCGCCAGGTTCGCTGGATGCCGCACGGGGCGCCGCCGCTGCGGAGATCTCGCCGAGCAGCGCTGGCGGGACCGTGCCGCTGAAGGTCATCGTCATCGGGGCCGCCGGTCTCAGGGCGGCCGACTGGAGAGGGCTCTCGGACCCGTACGTGGCGGGGGGCGTCGTGGGCAAGCCGGAGAACAGATTCCGGACCAAGACTGTCTGGAACACCCTGGACCCCTCGTGGGGCGAGCGGTTCGACATACGGGACTTCGTTCCCGGGGATCGGCTCGAGTTCAAAGTGTACGACGAGGACAACGCTGTCAAGGCCGCCACGGTGGGCGACGATTTCCTCGGGGAGGCCGTGCTGCACAGCGACGACTTCTACCCTCACGGCTTCGACGACGAGGTGACGCTCGACGATGCGAGTTCCCCTGGCGGTCGCGCCACGCTGCGGCTGCGGATATCTGTTGGAGCCGGCGATGGTGACGGGGGAGACGGTTCTGATGTCGGCTCCGGTCCCACCCCGCCCAGCCGCGCAGAGCAGCGGAGGGCGGTAGTGCCGCAGGGCCCTGCCCGGCGTGGCAAGCGGACCCGGGCGTGGCCGACCGACGTGCGCAAGATCAGGGTCACCATCCTGAGCGCCCGGGACCTCGCAGGAGGAGCCCCAGCACGGCCATATTGCACCTGCGAGGTGCCCGGCAGGCCGCGGACCCGCTTCGCGACGGAGAGTTGCCCGGGCCTCGCGGAGCCGCGGTGGGGGTCGACGTTTGACCTGGACTACATTCGAAGAAGAAAAAAAACACAAACATAATTTGTCGCAGATCCGCGCGGGTTTCTTGGATCTGCACTGGGCTCTTCTGGCGGCGCCCCCGGCGCAGTCCCTCCGGCATGCTCTCCGCGCACCAGGGAGGGAGGCCCAGCTCAGATCCAACAAATCCGCGCGTGCCTCCACAAGCTGATGTCTGTGGGTTGTCTCTTCTTCTGTGCGTGCCTGCGGACCCGCTGCGGTTCTCCCTGTTCGATGAGGCTGGGGGAACAAGCGATGACGCAAACGTAAGAACTCTGAAGTCCACGCGGGTTTCTCGGATCGGCGCTGGACGCTGGACACTCCTCCCTGGCGCGCGGAGCGCGCCATGGGCGGCGCCGGAGGCGCCGCCCGGGGGGCTCCGGCGCCGATCCGAGGAATCCGCGCGGACCTTAGAGTGTTTTATGTTTACCTCGTTGTTTTCCCTATGCAGAGGCAGGCGGGTCCGGGGGAGACGTCCCCCTGGGCGAGGCGTTGCTGCCGGGCAGGCAGTTCTTCCCCCACGGCCTCGACGCCGAGCTCCAGCTCGAGGGCCGGGCCAGCGGGCGGGGCCGTGCTGGCAGGCTGCACGTGCGAGTGGATGTGTCGGACACCATCGTCCGCAGCGCCCCGTCCGTGCCTGCCAGCTCCTCGGCGAAGAAGAAAATTTTGGATATTGCCAGGACTCAGAGGAGCAAGAGGTCATGATAATGATACGTTCCAAAGGTTCCAGGATTTCCAACCATTGCCTGACGTTTCACAGGGGCTGCAGAAACGAGGGCCTGTAGATATTCTGGAATTTCTGAAGTGTATTTATCCTGGGCCAATCGTCTCATGACATCATTCCCGTCCTCAGGACTCAGGAATGGGGAGCCGGTTCGTTTGGCCCCGAAGCCCAAAACATGAGCCAGGACCACTAGGCCAGGACTGCAGTAGTTGGTATTTCCGGGCAGTGGAATGGGCGGGGCGGGGGGGACGACACATCACTATTTTGCAGATCCCACGCTAAATCGTGTCCTGCCAACGTCCGAGAAACCGCAGCACATACATCAATTGTCAGAGCTCTGCGCGGATTTCTCGGATCGGCGCTGAGCCCCCTCCCTGGCGCGCCCCCTCCTTTTCGTTTTGCCCAGACCCCCGTGGAACCCTTCAAGACAACGCAAACCAGACCCCCAAGAAATCTGACCCCCTCCTCCAACTTGTTGTGAATGTTGGATGATTATTTAGAAATTATCGGGGGTCGTGTTTACGCGGCGGCGCCCAGGATGCCCCTGGCCAGGAAATTATTTGTTGATAGTTCCATCCCGCCCTCGTCGGGCGCGCGCCTGGACAGTCGACGGGCCAGACGGAGCCGAAGCGAAGCGGAAGCCGAAGACTCAGAAACCATGTGTGAATCGTCCCCCCCGCATTCTCTTAATTTGTCGTCATCTTACATGATGAAGTCCGGAGTATGCAGGTTTTCTTCTTCGATACTCGGCGCACGCACGCAGGTCCGCGCTCGCCGAGGGCCCCGCCTGGGTCGGCGGCGTCGGGGTGCCGCTGCGGTGCGCCTCCTCCGGCCTGGCCAGTCTCGCGGCCGCGCCCTCCCCGCACCCTGGCGCCTGGGCCCCGCAGCCCCTGGCGCACCAGGGCGGGGCGCCGCTGGGCGCGTGGCCGGGCCAGAGGACAACGCTGCTGGTCACCGTCCGCGAAATGCGGTGCCTCAGGTCTGGGCTCCCGGATGGGTTCAGAGCAGACGTGGTCTCAGAGTTGCCGCTACCCTTCCCTCGTGACCGCCCTGTTGGGCCTCCTGGGAGGCCCTCCTCGACAAGGCTGGATTCGCCGCGAAGTCTTGGTCAGCACGCACCCCGGGAGAGGTCCTTTGGGTTTCCCCATCTCAGATGGGGTCAGAGAAGACGGGGTCGGAAGGTCCGCGCCGCATCGCCGATGCATCGGCGGTGCGGCTCGATGCAAACGTCGCCCATGCATCGCCGATGTCGCCGAATTCATCGGTGATGCATCGACGATGCGGCGCGGTCATCCGAGCCATTCTGCCCCAGCCCCATTCGGGAGGCCCCTATCAGGGCTGGCAGCCTGGACGGGAGGTCCCACATCCGCTGTACCTGCGAGTGTCCGGGCCGGCCGGGCAGCGGCTTCCAGACTGGAAGAAGAAGTGGCATAAACACGAACTGTCGGAGATCCGCACGGATTTCTTGAATCGGCGCTGGGCCCCCCTGGCGGCGCCTCTGGCGCCGCCACCGCGCCCCGCGCCAGGGAGGGGGGGGTCAGGAGCCGATCCGAGAGAAGTCCGCGCGGAGCTCAAAAAGTTTACGTCTGTGCCGTGTCTTGTTCCTCGTCAGACGGGGGCTGCCACCACCGTGGCGGGCAGAGCGTCCTGGAACCACGAGCAAGGGATTTCATATGTTGTC